ATTGTTTGTGTACAAATATCTTACCACATTCCTTTTGAAAAGTTTAAAATAATTTTAAATATAATGTTAATTAAAAAGTTATATGAAGAATTAAATTTGGTCTTAAGTCGTAAGTCCTTTTGTAAAATGGGCCCCAGATACCAAGTCTTTAAAACAGCAGGATATCTTCTACAAACAGATATCAAGTCATAAATAAACAACAGGATATTCCCTTAATAATATTCATTTGTAAAGATACAAGTTAAATAACCAGATATTTATGCCCGAATATAATTATTCAAATTACTATGCAAGAAAAAATTATTACCACAAGTTTTTCTTATGTTCTTATGCATTTATTTACACACCAAGGTATCCAGGCTCCGGGGCCATAAAACTTAGATGAGCTCTTTTGTTCTCAGTCTCACTTTTAATAAAGGAATTCTTGGCGGATAAGTAAGAATATCAAAAATGAGCTTGTAAAATTTTTATGGCCCAGTAGCCAGATATTAACTACAGGTAACTTACCTGGTGAATCCATCAGGTGGATCTGCATCACTGATATCACAGAGGTGTCCAGGTATTAACAACAGGTAACTTACCTGGCACTTCCAACAGGTGGATCTGCATCACTGATATCATGGAGGTGTCCAGGTATTAACTACAGGCTACTTACCTGGGGGTTCCAACAGGTGGATCTGCATCACTGATATCATGGAGGTGTCCAGGTATTAACTACAGGCTACTTACCTGGTGGTTCCAACAGGTGGATCTGCATCACTGATATCATGGAGGTGTCCAGGTATTAACTACAGGTAACTTACCTGGTGGTTCCAACAGGTGGATCTGCATCACTGATATCATGGAGGCGTCCAGGTATTAACTACAGGTAACTTACCTGGCAGTTCCAACAGGTGTATCTGCATCACTGATATCATGGAGGTGTCCAGGTATTAACTACAGGCTACTTACCTGGCGGTTCCAACAGGTGTACCTGCATCACTGATATCATGGAGGTGTCCAGGTATTAACTACAGGCTACTTACCTGGCGGTTCCAATAGGTGGATCTGCATCACTGATATCATGGAGGTGTCCAGATATTAACTACAGGCTACTTACCTGGTGGTTCCAACAGGTGGATCTGCATCACTGATATCATGGAGGTATCCAGGTATTAACTACAGGCTACTTACCTGGCGGTTCCAACAGGTGGATCTGCATCTCTGTTATCACAGAGGTGTCCAGATATTAACTACAGGTAACTTGCCTGGTGGTTCCAACAGGTGGATCTGCATCACTGATATCATGGAGGTGTCCAGGTATTAACTACAGGTAACTTACCTGGCGGTTCCATCAGGTGGATCTGCATCACCATTATCATGGAGGTGTCCAGGTATTAACTACAGGTAACTTACCTGGTGGTTCCATCAGGTGTATCTGCATTACTGATATCATGGAGGTGTCCAGATATTAACTACAGGCTACTTACCTGGGGGTTCCAACAGGTGGATCTGCATCACTGATATCATGGAGGTGTCCAGGTATTAACTACAGGCTACTTACCTGGCGGTTCCAACAGGTGGATCTGCATCACCATTATTAACTACAGGCTACTTACCTGGCGGTTCCAACAGGTGGATCTGCATCACCATTATCATGGAGGTGTCCAGGTATTAACTACAGGTAACTTACCTGGTGGTTCCAACAGGTGGATCTGCATCACTGATATCACAGAGGTGTCCAGGTATTAATTACAGGTAACTTACCTGGCACTTCCAACAGGTGGATCTGCATCACTGATATCATGGATGCGTCCAGGTATTAATTACAGGTAACTTACCTGGCACTTCCAACAGGTGGATCTGCATCACCGTTATCATGGAGGTGTCCAGGTATTAACTACAGGTAACTTACCTGGGGGTTCCATCAGGTGGATCTGCATCACTGTAATCATGGAGGTGTCCAGGTATTAACTACAGGTAACTTACCTGGTGGTTCCATCAGGTGGATCTGCATCACTGATATCATGGAGGTGTCTAGATATTAACTACCGGTAACTGACCTGGTGAATCCATCAGGTGGATCTGCATCACTGTTATCACAGAGATGTCCAGGTATTAACTACAGGTAACTTACCTGGCACTTCCAACAGGTGGATCTGCATCTCTGTTATCACAGAGGTGTCCAGATATTAACTACAGGTAACTTACCTGGTGAATCCTCAGGTGGATCTGCATCACTGATATCACGAAGGTGTCCAGATATTAACTACAGGTAACTTACCTGGTGAATCCATCAGGTGGATCTGCATCACTGTTATCGCAGAGGTGTCCAGATATTAACTACAGGTAACTTACCTGGTGGTTCCAACAGGTGGATCTGCATCACTGATATCATGGAGGCGTCCAGGTATTAACTACAGGTAACTTACCTGGCGGTTCCAACAGGTGGATCTACATCACTGATATCATGGAGGTGTCCAGGTATTAATTACAGGTAACTTACCTGGCACTTCCAACAGGTGGATCTGCATCACTGATATCACGGAGGTTTCCAGGTATTAACTACAGGCTACTTACCTCGTGGTTCCAACAGGTGGATCTGCATCACTGATATCATGGAGGCATCCAGGTATTAACTACAGGTAACTTACCTGGCACTTCCAGCATGTGGATCTGCATCACCATTATCATGGAGGTGTCCAGGTATTAACTACAGGTAACTTACCTGGTGGTTCCAACAGGTGGATCTGCATCACTGATATCACGGGGTGTCCAGGTACTAATTACAGGTAACTTACCTGGCACTTCCAACAGGTGGATCTGCATCACTGATATCACGGAGGTTTCCAGGTATGAACTACAGGTAATTACCTGGTGGTTCCAACAGATGGATCTGCATCACTGATATCATGTAGGCATCCAGGTATTAACTACAGGTAACTTACCTGGTGGTTCCATCAGATGGATCTGCATCACTGTTATCATGGAGGCATCTAGATAGTTGGACTCCGTCTCTTTCGTGTACAGAACTTCCACAGGGTAGGTCCTTCCAGGGATCGTGAAAATAGGCTACAAAATTTACAGGGATCATCTCAAACTTTAAATCTGAGCTATCTTTAAAAAAGAAATTTATCCAAGACCTCAAAGAACAAGTTTTAAAGTAGTCAAATACATAAAAGTTAATCTGTTCATGTTCTTTTAAAAAACATATCATACAGAGCTTTGCTGTTTTCAAAGACAAATGCTAATTAATTGGCAAAGTTGAACTACCAGTATTTGCTTAAGTATGAAATATTTTAGAATTGAATTCAATGAAAAATAATAACAATGTACTGTTATGAATTAATTTACCGCTTCAAAGAAGTACTGTGAGAATTTGACGGCATCCAGAGTGGCTGAGGTGACAATGAGCTTCAGTTCTGGTCTCTTCTGTACCGCCTAAAGTCAGAGAGACAAAAATATCGTCAAAATCATCATCAAGAATTACAGTATACAGGGTTAAAATTTTTGCCCCCTTATTTTTGTCTTTTACATTAAAAAATTTGCAAACAATTTTGTCCAATATTAAGAGAGTTGTGTTAAGGAGATAATGTTGTTTTCTTTTTAACCTCATCACATTTTAAATTCCCTCTCTGGTGATGATGGCAAAAATTTCCCTGTATACCGTGAATCTAAATGTAAATATTTTCTATCAAACTAATCAATGCCAATCAAATTGCTTTTCTTTAAAACTTTTCTAAGGAACTAAAATGCATTAATATATTATTCGAATATTTCCATTTCTAATAATTTTTTTCTCTATGATAACCCTTTGAAAGTAAGCTGAGTTGATTTCCTGATAATTCTGCAGGAAAGTAAATTAAGCAGGTAGATAGGTCAGGAGCTATGGAGGCCTAGCATGCATGCAAATCTCGTGCGCATCTGTCTCTGAGTCTGACGCTTGGGAGGCTAAATATGCATGAAAATTTCGTGTGGCTGCCGTTGTGTTCTGCAAGGCCTATTAAAATTGGGACGGGAATCCTCATGTAATTTAAATCTATGTCTGCATTTTTAAAGTCTAAATCTACCACTGGGTGAAAAAAGCGGTTTCTCATCATGGGAAACTTTATGGAAACCACATGGAAACCTCAAGTTTACATCATGTTTCCCAGTGGTTTCCGTAGCGGATGCTAGGTTATTCCGCCAAGTTTCCGTGACATGGAAACCCCCTACGCTCCGATTCCATAAGGTATCCCGAACCACGGAAACCTCTGTAAACCTGAAGTTTCCCGAACATCCATGTAGTTTCCCATAATGGGAAACCTGAAGATTCCACTGGTTTCCAGAATCAGGAAACTTGATGGAATCGGAGCGTAGGGGGTTTCCGTGGAATGGAAACTTGGTGGAATCTTTAGGTTTCCTTTTACGGGAAACTACATGGAAGCTCGGGAAACCTCACAATTCCTAAAGTTTCCTTGACTCAGGAAACCATATGGAATCGGAGCGTAGTAGTTTCCGTGGAATGGAAACTTGATGGAATCTTTAGGTTTCCTTATACGGGAAACTACATGGAAGCTCGGGAAACCTCACGATTCCTAAAGTTTCCTTGACTCAGGAAACCATATGGAATATGAGCGTAGTGGTTTCCGTGGAATGGAAACTTGATGGAATCTTAAGGTTTTCTTTTATGGGAAACTACATGGAAGCTCGTGAAACCTTATGATTCCTGAAGTTTCCTTGACTCAGGAAACTATATGGAACTTGTGTAGCACTTTCTGTGTGGCGGAAACTTGCTTGAATTATCTGGAGTCCCATTCCTGGTGGAAATTACTGGGAAACTTCAAGATTCCCTAACTTTTCTAAAGGAAGCAATGTGAAATAATGCGTATTCTTTTAAAAATCTATCAAAAAAATTTATTACATGTAAAAGAAAAAGCATTACCATTTTACATGTTTAATAATTCATTTGATGTACAAAAACTGTAACTGAATTTTTCAATGATATCAAAATATTAAATAAATTCATATATCTTAGATATAAACAATGGAACAGTCTTTCACATTTAAGTCCATTCATAAGGGTCATTAAGTACTTCTTTCAACATCAGTTTCCTGGTTTTCTTCACATCACCTATGATCTGCAATATTCATACAAAATTATTATATGATGTCAGAATTATAATGCTTGAATATAACTTAGAAATCTGAAAGATCAGTCAATGTCCTTTAATATACCAATATCAATAATTACTTTCCATGACCATGATACATATGATTTCAGCATTTAATGTATCTCTTTAATATTTAATGCTTTATAAGTGAAAAAAAATAACATAATATAAATAATGTTTTCAGCCTTATTATGTCATTGAGAATATATTACTACATGTATCTCATACTAAGAACCCTGCTTTAAGTTTGATTAGTTTGAGAGAAAACATACCCTTTATGATAACAAAAATATTAGGGAGAGATTTTTTTTTTTATTTTGATATTCGACCTAGAAATTGGTTGAAGATCATTGCAGACCCTCCACCCCATTGCACAAAAGCTAGATTTCACCAGGGGAGAAATATACTCTGGACTACGATTTTAAATAAAGATATACTGTAGATTTTGATACTGACCTTTGACCTAGAAAATTAGTCCAAGGTCACTCTTCATCCTCTATCCACAGGCTCTCTGTAGTTTAAGTTTGAGAGAGAAATATGCACAGAACAAGTGATTTCAGATGGAGTGATGGGTAGACACTGTCTTAGGGCATCCACAGAACAGGACCTAAAAATAATGCAATATATATGTATTACAGTATATATACACATGTACTTGTATGTGTGACAGGACTTGGTTTTACCCTCAAATTAGGGTACCACTCACAGCACCAATGTAACCGGAATTCGCTACATGGTATCAATGCAATTTTGGAAATTCCATGATACCAGTGTAGCGAAAATGATCCTATGAAAATACCTCTTTAATAACACACACTTTCTTTATCAATAATAGTACTTCGTGTTTTATTCCAATTTCTTACTAACCAATAAACCTCTTGATTTTCAAATTGTCACAAAAGAGACTTACTAACCCAAAAATTTTAATAACAAGAGTTTGCAAATTAACAAATATTTATTATAGCCACAAATGTATTTTATTAACAGCACAAAAATATTTACATTATATATTTACAACGAAAAACTGATGTACTAACGACCTTTCACTCACGAGCCTCAACAAGAGGCCCAGGGGCCACAGCGCTCACCTGAGCACATCGGGCTTGAATTTATCCCCCCCCCCCTCCAGGCGTTCATCATTTGAACAAATTAAAATCTACACTACCTGAGGATGATTCCATATAAAAACATGTATCACTAATCATAGCTTTGAAGAACTTGAAAAGAAGATTTGAAAAGGTTTCCCTATATATCCCTATGTAAAACTTGGGTCGGCCATTTTGGCCCCACCCTAGCCCCAGGGGGTCATGATTTGAACAAACTTGAATCTACACTACCTGAGGATGATTCCACATGAGTTTCATCTTTCCTGGCCCAGTGGTTCTGGAGAAGAAGATTTTTAAAGATTTTTCCTATATATTCCTATGTAAAACTTGGGTCGGCCATTTTGGCCCCACCCTTGCCCCGGGGGTCATGATTTGAACAAACTTGAATCTACACTACCTGAGGATGATTCCACATGAGTTTCATCTTTCCTGGCCCAGTGGTTCTCGAGAAGAAGATTTTTAAAGATTTTTCGTATATATTCCTATGTAAAACAAGGGTCGGCCATTTTGGCCCCACCCTTGCCCCGGGGATCATGATTTGAACAAACTTGAATCTACACTACCTGAGGATGATTCCACATGAGTTTCATCTTTCCTGGCCTAGTGGTTCTGGAGAAGAAGATTTTTAAAGATTTTTCCTATATATTCCTATGTAAAACTTGGGTCGGAAATTTTGGCCCCACCCTTGCCCCGGGGGTCATGATTTGAACAAACTTGAATCTACACTACCGGAGGATGATTCCACATGAGTTTCATCTTTCCTGGCCTAGTGGTTCTGGAGAAGAAGATTTTTAAAGATTTTTCCTATATATATTCCTATGTAAAACTTGGGTCGGCCATTTTGGCCCCACCCTTGCCCCGGGGGTCATGATATGAACAAACTTGAATCTACACTACCTGAGGATGATTCATGAGTTTCATCTTTCCTGGCCCAGTGGTTCTGGAGAAGAAGAATTTTAAAGATTTTTCCTATATATTCCTATGTAAAACAAGGGTCGGCCATTTTGGCCCCACCCTTGCTCCGGGGGTCATGATTTGAACAAACTTGAATCCACACTACCTGAGGCTGATTCCACACGAGTTTCATCTTTCCTGGCCCAGTGGTACTGGAGAAGAAGATTTTTAAAGATTTTTCCTATATATTCCTATGTAAAACTTGGGTCGGCCATTTTGGCCCCACCCTTGCCCCGGGGGTCATGATTTGAACAAACTTGAATCCACACTACCTGAGGATGATTCCACATGAGTTTCATCTTTCCTGTCCCAGTGGTACTGGAGAAGAAGATTTTTAAAGATTTTTCCTATATATTCCTATGTAAAACTTGGGTCGGCCATTTTGGCCCCACCCTTGCCCCGGGGGTCATGATTTGAACAAACTTGAACCTAAACTACCTGAAGATGCTTCCACATGAGTTTCATCTTTCCTGGCCCAGCGGTTCTGGAGAAGAAGATTTTTTAAAAATGCCATTAATTTTTCACAAATTCATAATTATCTCCCCTTGGAAGTGGGCGTGGCCCTTCATTTGAACAAACTTGATTCCCCTTTACCCAAGGATACTTTGTACCAAGTTTGGTTGAAATTGGCCCAGTGGTTCTTGAGAAGAAGATGAAAATGTGAAAAGTTTACGACGACAACGACAACGACAACAACAACGACAACGACAACGACGACAGACAACGGACAAATTTTGATCAGAAAAGCTCACTTGAGCCTTCGGCTCAGGTGAGCTAATAAAAATAAGTGCCTACCTAACAAATGTACAATGTCCAGAGCCCGTCCTACCCAATGCTAAGTCCAAGGGAAAATGACCCATCCCTGCACAATAAATTTACTATGCCTAACCTAACCGGTTTGCCAAAAATAGAAATTAGGAACTAGAAAATTGACGTAAAAATAAGGAAAACAAAATGGATAATGATGAACGAATGAACGAGATAATCATACTGAACGAAACAGAGACAGAGACCGGGATCAACCCAATTACCCATCTTATCAAAAAGTGAGCTGGCACGAACCTTTGAGAAGGTTCCAAGCCAACTGATCTAATCGTGAAATGCTGGACTTTAAATACACCGCGGTCCAAAGGCGTGTCTCTCTTAACCAATCAAAATCTATGTCCTATGTATAACCCAGACAAGGGCGATACCCAAATCACTGTATAAAGCTAGAAAGTTTCCGAATGTAAAACAAACGATCGTAACCAATAAGAATTATCGTTATTTACTAACTATGTACAATCCAATCCTACCACATATGTTAATGATTTATCATCGCTGCATTGGACACATATGATTTTATCATGGTTTAAGTATACATGTATCTTATGAGTAATTTTATACCGGTATTGCATGTACGCTCAGTTTATTTAAGAAATAAATAACAAGTTTATAAACTTCAATGGGAGAGATACCACAAATGTATTTATAAACAAGTAATTTAATTTTTTTTTTACATATATTGACCAACAATATTTACATCCATTCATCATGTTCATCATGTTCATGAATTGGCTGATCAAAATTCATGGCTGATCAAAATTCAGTCAGTTTTAGATCTATATGATATACCATAAAGGACTTTCACATTTACAAAAGTTATTCCCCTTCGCAGGGTCGATCTGTGGTCAACCGGCTTAAGACGCTGTTTTCCCTCTTTAACCGTATCAACTTAGGACAATATCTTAGAAATAAAATCTGTATGAACATATTCATTATGATTTTCATGTTGCCCCCATACTCTGGCAATACAGATACAGATCCTAATTGTCAAATATTTTTGAAGATTGAAAATATTAACAAGTAACTTACAAAGGACAAAGTGGGAAAAATGAGCGATACGCCGACAATTGGAGAAAACTCTTAGGAATGAGAAATTCGTCTATTGGTGATGACAATTCCTGTTTTAATGTCACTGAAAAATTAAGAGACATTAAAAATTTAAGCCCTATTGTCATACACGCATGCTGTTTTTTCATCCATATAACCTTGTAGTATCATAAAATTTACCAAAATTTAATACTTCAAATAATTTCATTATATCTATAAAATAAAGGAAACTCTAAAAACTTAATGACTTGCAGAAATTATTCCTTGAAGAGAAAAAACTCTATCATATTTCATATAAATATGTGCATGCATAATGAGCCTTTTTTATTCATTTAGAACATATGGTATGTGCCTCATTTCCCCAAGAAATTTTCAAAGACAATGGACTATCTGTAAGCAGAAATCATTGCTAAAAATAATTTGATCTATTAAAAATAATCTAACTGACTGTGAAATAACATTTTTCATGATCTTAATCTATGGGCAGATCACTCTAACTTCATAAAACTACCTGAGATTAAAGTAGAACTAGTAGTGTGCAGTTTTTATAGCTTCCTTTAAGTAATCAAAATACTGACCAGCAAGAAATCAGTTAATAAGCATTTCCTTTTTTTCATTCAAATTTTTGGAGAGATCTCAGAGTTTTTTCCTGTTCAATTCAGGTTCAAGACGACAAAGTTTTAATGAAGTGTATGTATTAGAGAACTGATTGTGTCAATCATAGCAATACACACATAACATGGAGGGGGCAAATTGTTTCAGCCCTAGCTTTTACATAAAACTTCTTGTAGCTCACAGCTGATATACCACAGTTCAGTATTTAAATAAAATTTAGAATCTTTTTTTTTTTCAGGCAATTGTTATATACATACTAATCATGAATGAATTACCACTTACCAAATGACCACATCCTGAATCATCATACATTTTCTATGATTTTATCTCACTGGTTTTCTTTTAAAGTCAGTTTTCTTCTCTCTGAAATGATAAATTATGTCCAGGTACTATTGCATTCTAATTTAAACTAATTATGTAATAGCATTAGCAACAACCGGGATGGAATAAAAATAACCAGAAGTCTCTGTCGAGACTGTAGCTCTACTAGTTTGTACTTATCAAAAACTGATGCAAAGAATTATGTATCTGTATAGTCTACTTGTGTGCCAAGTTATATTGAAATCAGACTAAAATTTAAGGAGGAGTAGTGTTTGCAGACAGACGGACGCCGGACGCATTACTATCGCATAAGCTCTTCTGGTCTCTGACCAGTAGAGCTAAAAACAAGATGCGCTTGTGAAACACAGCAACAAAGTTCGAAAATGCAATTTTTTTTAGCATACAGGTCACAGTCAAGATCACATAATCATTGTCCTTGTTGCCATTTGAAAGCACTTCATTAGTGGAGTATGCATACTAAATATGAAGCCACTATCTCGTATAGTTCTAAAGTTATGGTGAAGGTTTAAGTTGACAACAGACACTCAGACAGACACACAGATATACAGTTATGGCAAAAGTTTGAACATTATAACTTGGTATACACACAGCCACTTCGAGGTATCAAGGGTAAAATTCACAGCACAGCGGGACTGCATTTTGACTTCGAGGGATCAAGGGTTTCGAGAGATCAGGAGTTCGAGAATTCAAGAGCAACTCTGCTAAGTTATATAGTTTAAAAAATCGGGACCGGAGACTCACTTCAAGCGATCAAGAACTTCCGAGAAATCAAAGTTCAGGCCATCAAGAGTTACCTGTATATACAGATATAAGATTAGAAGCATGTTATTATTTGCAATTTTGACCTAATGACAGCTAAATCTGTTCAGCAATACAATACCGTGTACATGTATGTAAGTAGTTTTATTGTGCATGATTATTTACTTATTTTCTTGATCTTCTCAACTTGAAGTGTTCTGTATTTAATAACCAAGTTTGTAATAAACATAATGAAACATACCCTTTTCCATATCACATCCTGTATCAGACCTTCGACCAATATCAGCCCTAGGGCCTCTGTCCCTCTGGCTGATATTGGTGTTTTGGGCTAGGATGTGATATGGAAAAGAGTATGTATTATTCGCTAATCATTGACCTACTCAGGTCAATAATTGTGAAAAAACTGATAATTCAAGCCGATGATTCATTTGCATTTCTTGACATACTATCAATATTAATTCACTATTAGGCTTTTCTTTCTTTACATCTTCATCTCAACAGGCTAGACATTACAAAAAAAAATCTTTTGAGCAGTAAACTATTTCAATAAACAATAAAACAAACCTAGTCTCTTCAGAAAAGTGGACAGGTTTTCACCTACATTCATTTTTTTATGTATATTTTCCCTCCATATCATCGTAATGCATATGATTAAGGGTTATGCTATTGGCTGCAATCTATTCCAACTGTTCTGATGAGGATATCCTTGACTTCATGAATAATCGGATAAGCTGAGATTGAAGACACTTTTTGTAAAAATATCGATGCTTTTATCAAAGTTTTGAACCAAAAATATTTAATTCATACCCTGCCATAAGTCGTAAGTTCCCAAAAACAAGAGTTGGCTATCCGAAAAATCAGAAAACACATGTATTCAAACTGGATGTTCTACAGTCTGAATTTAGCTACGAAACCATGCTCGGTGTAACTATTATCATCCGGATAATTTGAGCGGGGTTAATTTTTTTTTTTTTAATTCCGAAAAGTATTCATTTATATGTAAAGAGACTCAGAGAACATACATATGGAGCATAATTTCAATAAACATGATAAAAGGTGATATGTTGCCATTTTACAAGTCAACATACAGCATGCACATGCACGGTGCCTTCAAATCCATGGGGCCTCCATAATCTAAGTTATGCTATATCACTGTCTCAATTTTTTTTCTCTCTCTCTCTTTCTCTCTGCAATATATATACTTAACAATTTAAAACTTAGGTATCCAACTTTTCAAAATGGCGTCAGGACAAAAGTTGCCTCCGATAGTGAAGATTTGTTGTTGCCAAATATTACAACTATTACCGTAAAAAGTTAACAAAAATATACGTACACTAATCCTTCATCATTGGCCATTCATCACTGGGTGGTGAAACCATATTAACTTTTCAAATTTACCAGCTGCTTACACCTTCTTCTACGTCCTTCTCGATCCTCCAAAAATGGCGCCTCGGGAAAATGACCAATGAAATAAAGCGCCTACAGAGCGATGCAGGATGGGAATAAAAAGAGGGGCTCCTAGTAAATTTTTTTGCCGATATGATGTGTAGGCCTAGTATATTTAGAAAAAAAGCGGTTAAATACATGAGGCAAGAGCAGAAAAAAAAATGTTTCTTGCTTGACACCTCAATTTATTTGCCTTCGGGATATGGGTTTCGGGGCTTGGTTGTTGGTAGTGGCCGTCCTTGCCGAAAGTACCCCCCCCCTCTCCCCGCTTCTTTTAACTGTTACATGTATGATTATGAATTTATAATGTCACACCAAAAGATGTTATTTTATAAATATGTTCTCTTGTATAACTTTATTTATGGAATATACAATTTTTTAAATAATAAAAGAAACATGAATCATCATCTTAATTTAAAAGAATTTTCGGTCGGAGACTGTGTGTGTACATGCTCGACAACAGCCCATTTTTCCCTTTACATACAAAACTGTCTCAATTCACATAGAATATACAAAAAATACACAGTGACAGGTGTCTTCGCGGCACGTGTCTCCACCTGAAATGGCACGTGAGGACAGGTGTCCCTAATTCACAGGCCGACCATAGTGACTTTTTCAAAAGCGTTTTTTTTTGTGCCTCGATTAACATATGAATTCATTCTTGCGTCAGAAAATCTAGTTCCGTCGATCTGTTTGTAATGGGAATTAAAGGCCATGCAACTAGATTTTACAATTTTTAAAAAAATAGCATGTGAGCGCAGTTAGCTACAATTTTCTCCTTTCACATATACTTAGGTAGATTTCAATAAAATACAGTGCCTAGCCAAAGGAGAAAATTGTACCTATAATCTGCGCTCGTATATTTTAAGGACTTCAAAGAGAGGGGCGGGGCTAAAATGCAATGGGAATTGAATGTTAACATGATACCCCTACCCCAATAAAAGATTTATAACTTTCAAATCATGTTGCTATTTTTGTTTAAAAAAGTATTCTATAAAAGTACACGTCAGTGATTAGTTACATACAAAAATTTGAGTAAAATTTTGACATGTAATTTTTTGTCAGTATACGAGGGGCCGCAAGTCACCTCATCCTTTGTTAAATCTTTTTGAAATATTTTGTTTTGATTCAGTTTTAAATCTGTATTTTAAATGTACTGGTAAATTTTTAATATTTTTTTTGCATGCATCTTCTTTTGTTACGTTTGTGACCCCCCAAAAATACAAACAAAAACATAATTCTGAAAAATTTTTCTTGGAAAGATATAAATGTAAAAAAAAAAGTTGTATAAAATGCACAGGGGAAGAATAATGTTAGTGAGTCAATTTACCTCCTGTCCCAGTCGACAACCAAATTCCTCTGAGACTCGTTTGGCGACAGACATGGCGGCGACACGTCTTGGCTGCGTACAGCCGATCTTCCCCGGCGTCGTGTAGCCCGCCTTCACGAGATACTGTGTGATCTGAGTTGTCTGACGATTAATACATGGTTGTCTGTCACTGCCTAAAATTGAGTTTATATAATAAAGTATAATTGTTAAATAGTTGCAAATGTATCTTGTATAATGTATATGCCTGAAAACCAAACTATAAGAAGCTCAAGGTCTCTGATATCACTATGCAAGTTCTCTCTCAGCATAGTCTATAGATTTTATCTATCCTTTTTTTTTTATTTGTCTATTTTGTAAAACTTGAAATCTTAGTGCAACTCAAATTAGTTCACCTATAGAAAATGATTTAAAGTAATTATACTATTGCTCTTTTTATTGTTTTAGGCACACAAAAATGTGTATATAACTAATGTTTTATAAATTTATCATCATTCTAGACATCTCAATGACTAAATATTACTGATTTTAATTCATCAGATTTGAATGACCTCCAGAATTTCCTCTTGTTAAATCTCTCCTCCTTTTTATCAGTCTGGATAAAAGCGTGACAACTCCATACCTTGACTAGTTGGTCCTTAAGTTTAAATATAGGCAGACTCTGCCGCTGTTCTAGAAGTGATTTCTTTTCCTTCTTTCCATACGATGCCTTCTGACCCCCAGATATATGTTTCTTCCACTCCAGTAAATCAGCTGGGGCCATTCCAACACCCCTCACCTGGAAGGCTAGCCTTCTGTCACCATCTGAAATATACTCCAAATATATAAATGGTTATTTAAAATTTCCTACTTCATTTACTACATTTTTCTTACATAACCTTCAGAGAAATCATGAAATTAGAGGAAATTCTAAACTACCCCACAACTTTATGTATACATGTATATCTTCTTTACCCTATACATGTATTGGATATTAAATGCTGTAAAATCACTTAATTTCTAAATTGGGTATAATTTAGGTTCTCAAGAGAAATTATCGCGGGCAAGGTTGTTATGAATTCTATTATTTCAAAGAACTTCAAAACCCCTCCCCCTAATCTCTCAAAAAAGGAAGACATTCTTGGTCTCATGGTAAAGTGATAATTTTAGTTTGTAATCCCATAACCAAATTAAAAATTTGATACTGATTCCTTGTCTTATAGTTTAATAAAGCTCATTCTGAAATCCGATTTTATGCCATCTCCACTTCTGCATGAATTAAACTTTGAGGATATAACATACCCTCTGGCATGAGGTCAATCCAGTCTTTATTTATTTTAATTTTGTTTCGCTTATAATTATCAAATTAAAGTCTGACGATCTAATGTACCCTCTGGGATGGGTCAATCCAGTCTTTATTTATTTCAATTTTATTTTGCTCATAATTATCATAAATAAAGTGTGACGATCTATTACCCTCTGGCATAGAGTCAATACA